CCCGAGGCATGGACGCCCTAACGACAGAGCGCTATGCAGGCAAACGGCCGGCGAGGCATTTTAAAGGTTTTATAAGGGTTTGAAGCCTGTCAAACGGCAGCCTTGAACGCCTATAAGAAGCCATTGCTGCGGCCGGGGGGATGCCTTGAGCCATTGCTGTGGCCTTGTGGTGGCTTTCTTGCGGGCGTGCCCGAGGCATGGACGCCCGAACGACAGAGCGCTATGCAGGCAAACGGCCGGCGAGGCATTTTAGGGGTTTTAAGGGTTTGAAGCCTGTCAAACGGCAGCCTTAAACGCCTATAAGAAGCCATTGCTGCGGCCGGGGGGATGCCTTGAGCCATTGCTGTGGCCTTGTGGTGGCTTTTGCCTGCGGGCGTGCCCGAGGCATGGACGCCCTAACGACAGAGCGCTATGCAGGCAAACGGCCGGCGAGGCATTTTAAGGTTTTTAAGGGTTTGAAGCCTGTCAAACGGCAGCCTTGAACGCCTATAACAAGCCATTGCTGCGGCCGGGGGGATGCCTTGAGCCATTGCTGTGGCCTTGTGGTGGCTTTTGCCTGCGGGCGTGCCCGAGGCATGGACGCCCTAACGACAGAGCGCTATGCAGGCAAACGGCCGGCGAGGCATTTTAGGGGTTTTAAGGGTTTGAAGCCTGTCAAACGGCAGCCTTGAACGCCTATGAAGAAGCCATTGCTGCGGCCGGGGGGATGCCTTGAGCCATTGCTGTGGCCTTGTGGTGGCTTTTGCCTGCGGGCGTGCCCGAGGCATGGACGCCCTAACGACAGAGCGCTATGCAGGCAAACGGCCGGCGAGGCATTTTAAGGGTTTGAAAGCCTGTCAAACGGCAGCCTTGAACGCCTATAACAAGCCATTGCTGCGGCCGGGGGGATGCCTTGAGCCATTGCTGTGGCCTTGTGGTGGCTTTTGCCTGCGGGCGTGCCCGAGGCATGGACGCCCTAACGACAGAGCGCTATGCAGGCAAACGGCCGGCGAGGCATTTTAGGGGTTTTAAGGGTTTGAAGCCTGTCAAACGGCAGCCTTGAACGCCTATAAGAAGCCATTGCTGCGGCCGGGGGGATGCCTTGAGCCATTGCTGTGGCCTTGTGGTGGCTTTTGCCTGCGGGCGTGCCCGAGGCATGGACGCCCTAACGGCAGAGCGCTATGCAGGCAAACGGCCGGCGAGGCATTTTAAGGGTTTTAAGGGTCTGAAGCCTGTCAAACGGCAGCCTTGAACGCCTATAACAAGCCATTGCTGCGGCCGGGGGGATGCCTTGAGCCATTGCTGTGGCCTTGTGGTGGCTTTTGCCTGCGGGCGTGCCCGAGGCATGGACGCCCTAACGACAGAGTGCAGGCAAACGGCCGGCGAAGCATTTTTAAGGGTTTTAAGGGTTTGAAGCCTGTCAAACGGCCCTTGAACGCCTATAAGAAGCCATTGCTGCGGCCGGGGGGATGCCTTGAGCCATTGCTATGGCCTTGTGGTGGCTTTTGCCTGCGGGCGTGCCCGAGGCATGGACGCCCTAACGACAGAGCGCTATGCACGCAAACGGCAGGCTGCAACGCTGGAACAGCAGGCAGCCTTGAACGCCTATAAAAGAAGCCATTGCTGCGGCCGTGGGGTGCTCTTGAGCCATTGCTGTGGCCTTGTGATGGCGTTTGCTTGCAGTGTGGGCGTGGCAAAGGTGCAAGAAAGACAGGATCCACGGCGTGGCAAAGGTTCAAGAAAGACAGGATCCACACCTCCGGTGGTCCCAGGCGCCGCCCCGGCCTTGGCGAAGGCCAGGGTCGGCGGATATATATACATATAGAGAGAGAGAGAGAGACATAGAAACACATATTATATATAGAGCCACTCCCAGTTTTAGATGGACGCCAACCAGATACTCACTGGGACACATCAACAGGGACTCAAGATCTCGGAAGGGAATTCCAAGAGTGTTTTGTTTTAGGCATCCCAAACATCCCAGAAAGGGAGGTCTTGGACCAGTCATGAAGATTTGATGATTTTTGAGCAACAGCCTGGTGAAATACAGGAGCCTGTATTTCACCTGAACAGCAGGAAATTTTCATCGCCTAGGTGGTACTGGGACAGCTGACACTCTTCGCAGATGGCTGGCACCTGTCCTTGCGGATCTGGCGATTTTTTTGTGGAAGCGGACAAAACTGTTTTGTTCTTTTGAGATATCCATGGTTTACTTTACATATTGCAAAGTCTATACCCAAATCATAGATATCCAAAAATATCCGACATTCTCCAACAAAGATGGGAACATGGTATGTGTTGATCGCTACAGAAAGGAAGACCATCAGCGAAACTTTTTTAGGCGAAGAAGCACCAGGAGGCCAGGCCACTGGCCTCGGGAAAATGAGCAAATCAATGAGTTCACTATCCAGCATCACGCCAGGCTTTCCCTGTTCTTCCGGCAAGACTATGGGCCCTGGCTGACCCAGGTCCCACACTGGATCCAGCTGGATTTGGAAATGGCAGCCATCATTTTCTGGGCACAGACTTCGTATATTCCATGGCCTCACCTGGCCCTGTCTGCAGGTCTTATGCTTGATACCCTTGGCTTACATGACATACACTGCTTACTTCAGTTGCTTGGCCTTTCGGGGGGCCAGGGGTCCATGATGGTCGGCAGGATGCCACGACGGGCGATGCTTCCCTACTCAACTGTGTTATTGGTCAAAGTTTGAGATCCATTCAAACCAAGGTTTTGGTCATTTTGAGGCATTTTGATGGCACGTTTGAAGCATGAACTTCTTCAGCATCAGGGTTTTTCGACATCAAGCCTGGAGCCGAAGTCGAAGGAATGATGATCCCCAAAGACTTTCATATTCTTGAAGGGGGTGGCTCAACCACCAACAGAGACATGGGGGTCATGGCAGGTGTCCTACGGGCTGAGGTATTTTTCGCTTGAAGATCTCTGGATGGTACGGCCCGGGATGCCAGTCTTTATTAGCTTTTGAGGTGGATATGGGTAGAAAAAACATACAGTAAACATCTGTATATCAAAGCCACCAATCCCCCTGAATCTTTTAGATTTTATCCAGTCCTGTTGACCACACTGAGGTCTGTATGGAAACCACAGCACCGATACCGGCAGCCTGCTCTGGCTCGTGGCTTACCATCCTGTGGCCAAGATTTTGAGCATCATTGGCTTTGTCTACAACCCAAATAAGCCGTATCACAACCAGAAAGTTGTGCCATTTCTGGAGCAAGGTAGCCAATTTTGAACCATTCAAGTCATGGAATACAATGTCTTAAGATTAAGATCCAGGGAATGTGAAACGAGAGCTTGTCAGAGCGTCATGTAGCTTCAAAAGCTGTTGTATAGATAGAGCATGATAGGGCTTGCGCCCATGTTCGAAAATCTTGAAGGGTGAGATGACTCGACCGCACAACTCTCGTTCCAACCCTTATGATCAGTTCATGAAGTAATTACTGTTCAATCAGCATCAAACTATGTAACATGTTACGAAGTAATCTTGTACTGTATTTTATGCAGGTATTGAAAGTGGAAAGACTCACATGTCTTGCAACGTTTGCAAACCGGATGAAGGCCACACTCTTGGCAATTTTTCGGAAGAAATTTGTGGTCCCCTTTGCTATGGGCAGTCCGTAGTTTGGAGAGAAATCGGGTAGTTCTCATGCCTGTTTCAACGTCTTTTCTGTTGGTGTACAAGCCTTTTGTGACGGATAGGGTGAAAATTTGTGAGATGTACGGGAGACTTATCCGATCGTGAGTTTCCCCATCGAAAATAAGTGTTGCGGTTTGCAAATCAAAAACTGCATGACAACTGTGTTAAGTCAAGTTGGATGAACTTAACCTTCCCAACAAACATGGCCTCGCGCTGCATATGTTTTTGGCTCACGGACAAAGCTGGAAAGGGGCATGATAAATCTCACGGCTGCTGTTGCTTCACGTGTTGAACCCTGAATGCTCCTTGGCAGCACTTTTTTTGGGTCTCAAACTTTGGAACCTTTGTCGATCTTTATCATCATCTTCCCCTTTGATTTCAAACAAACCCATATCAAGGGGTTTCAAAGGCTTCTTGAAGATGGGAATTCACCCAGTTTCCTCCAGAATCCCTCGAGTGAATCACATAAAACATGTGGTACACCTGACTACCCCCAGATTCCTCCAGGATTGCAACTCTGCCCAGACACTGCAGGTGCAAAATTTTTGTTTTTGACAGGTTGCTATTGGGACTTTGGGACTTTGCCCGTGGGATCATCCTAGAACATTTTTTCTCACCAAGTGCTCTAGATTTTAACAAAGGTGGAAGTTCTCCTCTCTTCTTCTCCTCCTCTCCTTGTCCTATCTCTTGCTTGCCCGCCAGCTTGTGTGTCGAGTGCGAGAAAGGGCAGCTGGGCACGCCTGGACGCGAAGACATGCCAGAAAAAATGCCAGAAGATATGTTAGATAGAATTCTATGTCGGATAGAATGCCAGAAAAACTCACAGATGTCAGATAGAATGCCAGATGGAATGGCACAACATATGTCAGATAGAATGCCAGAAAAAATGTCAGAAAAAATGTCAGATAGAATGCCAGATGGAATGTTACAATATCTGTCAGATAGAATGCGAGGAAAAATGTCAGAAAAATGTCAGAATATCTGTCAGATAGAATGCCCGAAAAATGTCAGATAGAATGTCACTTGGTGGGGATCACTCGAAGAAAGTCCTTTTTTATTGATCAAAATCTAGGGTTTTGGATTTTCTCTGGCATTTTTCTAACGACAAAAGAACAGGATTGGCGGATCGCCCCAAGGGGCCCATTTTTGCCTCAAATTCTGGTTGGATGAACAGATGGCAGGCCGACTGGTAAAGGTAGCTGAATGATGCTGAATGATGGTTCACGGAGGAATACTGTATTTTTTTGTTTTTTCAAACATTTTATATGCTACTGACCGCACTCGAAGAAATCCTTGTGGAATGTGGATCCCTTCTACCTGGGTTACCATTTCTGTAGAACCATTTCATTTCACGTTAATTTTTCAGATGGTTCAGGGTGCTAGGATTTGAAAAGGAAGGTTGTATTGAAAATTATAGTTATAAGATGAACCCTGCGTATCTGCTAAACCTGTTGATCTTGACTGATTTGAGTCTCATTTGGATTTGGGGTCAAAACATTGATAGATTCCCGATTGTCGCTTGTCAATCACCAGTAGGCAGGACACATCAATGGCAAATTCCATTAAATTCCCCAATTTGTACACAAACGTTTTTGTTATTTTTTTGTCTTTCCCTCTGCCAGCTAGCTTGATTTATAGAAGACTGGGACTGGGATGTCCTGAGTGAATTGGTCAATTTCATGGCCCAACAAAGTTGAGGTTTGAAATTCGTGATCAGTTACCGACATAACCTGAATATGAATTATTTCTAGTAGTAGGTATTGATCTGATTTTCAATGTCGTTCATCCAGTAGCTGAAGTCACCCAGGGGCATCCCCTTCGCCTGGCAGGGACTGGTGCGGTGACTCTCAAGTCAATGGGGGCGCCCGCTCCGTTGGAGTCAGTAGCACTGGACTGTACCCTGGTCTTGGAGGGACCCCTTGGAGGGGCTGAAGAAAAGCCATCAAGGTTTGTCCATTTTAATGTGGTACAGGGGAACATGTGCCCATAAACTGTTGGAAGTGGGAAGTGGGAAATGGGAAGTCGCCGATTTTCAAGGTTGAGTTCAGGAAGACCTCTGGAGGATCAGTAAAACTTGGCCACAGCCGTGGCGGTTCAGATTGGCCGTTGGGCTTTGATTCACTAACAGTTGCAGGGGGGCCATTTACTGGCAGATTCTCAAAGATGATCCCTGTAAGCAACCAGGCAACCCCGATTTTTGATCAATCCGCGTTTGTTGATCGAGGGTTGACATAGCCCAAAACTTCCTCAAAACATGGATTGTTGAGAAAGGCCATTTCTTTCTCTCGACATTTCACGGACATCGGCCCGGACAAGCTCCGCGGTATCCAGGTCCAGATCAAATCTTGCAGCCAACCGGTCTGTTGTCTCTTCTGCATCGGTATCTTGACCCAAGTCATGGATCTAGGTCAAGGGTGCTGAGGTGTTTCTTGTGGTGATGCGAACTCGCAGTGTTTCCCCCGGGAAGTTGGCCGGTGAAATGGACAAACACCAACACGGCAAAACAGAAAGAGGTAGACTTGTCTAGAATGCTGGCCCCTAGTAGGTACAAATGGGTGAAATGGGATTAGATTAGATTAAGGTGATTAAAGTATCTAGTCGCCTCCAGGGGTGTGGTTCGTTGTGCATTAAGATACCTGGCATCTCAGGCCTCGGACCTAAGATTGAAGCCGAGTTTTTTTTAACCCATAGGTGACCCAAGCAGGGGGGTGGAACAGCCATTTTAAGATAGTGTTCAGATACGTTCAGATGGAACATGGTGCATGCCTCCATGCGATATGGGTGATTTTCCAGAAGCGATGTCCCCTTGCCATGGGACTGGGAGAATAGTTGGTTGTAGTGATGGGATGTCGGTCAGTTTGGCACAGCGACTGCTAAAACCCCACCCAGTGGACATCCCACGGATTTCATCATGGCGCCCAGGGGTCTTATCAGGGTGTTCAAGATCACCATTCAAAGAACTATTTGAAGGCGTGAAGTCGGCCCTGGAGCGATGGTGTGAGATTTTTTTCACCTTTTTTTGACTTTAGAACGTTGGGTACTTGACCTTGGTGATAATCAGATGGAGATTCAAAGATAAAAAAGGGATGATAACCAGAGCTTGGAAGAATCTCAATGCGGGGACCCCATACACCTTAGTTATCTTGGCCCAATAAAGGTGGGGCTTCCCACGAGGTGACCTGAGGTGATCAGATGCTCCAGGAAAGGTGGCCCCTTGGATTGGCATTCCACTAGGATTTCTGTTGAATACTTTGCATTCCATCAGATCACAACTTGGTTATGGGTATGCGTGGACCCACCACATTGACAATACATCCCCATATATATATATGTATGGATATACATACACACATTTGTATATACATACACATTACGTTACATTACATGACATTGTACTACACTACATTACATTGCATTACATTACATTTACAGTACATTTACATTTTCATTTCATTTACGTTAACATTAACATTAACATTACATTCGCATTACATTAACATTTCATTTGCATTTCGTGTACATTACATTAACATTACATTAACATTGCGTACATCAACATTACATTAACATTGCATTTGCATTACATTTACATTGCATCTGCATTACATGCACATTACGTTTACAATACGTCTACATTGCGTTTACATTATGTTTACATGACGTTTACACTACGTTTACGTCTACGTTACATTTACATTGCAGCCTGAGACTTCATTAAGAATCCGAAAGTTTGAGGCCCAGGGTCCCTCAAATTCCTATTTGTAAGTACAGGGAAATTTCCACCATAATAGGTCGAGGGTCCCTCGGATTTTTAGAGCAATCTTATTTGTGTACTGTATATATATATATATATGTATATATATATATACATATATATATATGTATATATATATATATACATATATATATATATATTGTAAATGGCCGGAGACTCCCTAATGATCTTGGTCAGGATGGTGAGATTGCCAAAACTGATTGTGTACCCCAAACCTGTTGTATTGCTACCCAAAAGGATGAAAACACTCAGCCACTAGTCTTCTCCTCGAACACCCCAAACGCAGCAGCTGTTTGTCACACGATGATGCCAAAATTGTCTATGTCGCAGGTTGGACACTGGGAGGTCCAAAAGCGGAAGGCTGACACGCCTTATTCCAAAAAGCTTGCAAAAGGGCGGCCTCGCCCAAATCAACCAAGGAGTGACCCTGTCACTGTAGGCGCAAGACACGGAAATCCCTCCGCACCCTCACCGTGGAGGCCCGCCTGAGCCAAGTGTCTGCAGACACTCGTTGGATCAAACCAAGGTACCTGAAGCAAGTGGTGGGTCCACAATTGGATATTCACACTCGTCCTTTTTTATATTTTGATCCAACTCAGTGCTTGTGTTCTCGCGCAGCCAGCGAACACGATCTCTGGATTGTGCTCTGGCTTTGAGGATTGTATTTTCGTCCACTAGTCTATATTGTCCTAATCTTAAGGTTTCTCTGAGAAAGTGTGCCTGCATGGCCTTTGTCAATGCATCTGCTAGTTGAGCACCAGTGTGCACCCAACGGAGTTGGATGCCCTCTTTCAACGATTCCTTTATCGACCTAGCCATGAGTTGAACTCTGAATTCCGAACATGATGGTGGTGCGGTCCGGGTGATCAGGTCAAATAAAGATTTGCAGTCCGTTCTTGCCACATCTTGATTTTCATTCACTGTGGAAACAGAAATGGCAGGTTCTAGTTGAAGCAGGGCATTGTCTGGGTCTCGCCATTGCACCTTTGGATCGTGTAGCCATCGCCAATGCAGTCGGATCCAAGCCATCTGATCCAAGGCGGATGCCAAGGAAGTGGTCTCTGCTGATAAAGTGCTTGTCACGACCTTCTGAATTTTCTTGCTCCCCCAAGTTAACGGACTGATTGGGCACTGGGAATTATTGTTAATATCTTCATGAGTTCCTACAATAATTGAACCAGCATGGGAGTCGGGTTTCTTAGTTGAGGCAAAGGGTGCATCTGAGAAAGCCATGAACCTGAAGCTTTGATGTGGTATGGGCTTTATGGTGATGGTTACATCATGGTATCGTTTGGCTTCGTGAAGTAGTCGATTTGCAGATTGTAGTGTTTCAATGTTGGCTTGATTGATTTCTGACTGGAGTAGTGAAAGCCTGCTTGAAAGATCAGGTCGGGTATTTGTTGCTGCATACTGTAAGGATCCGATTAGGCCCCGCAGGTGGCCCCTTTCGGTCTCTGTGACTGGCAATTCAGGCTGTGTTTTGCGATGAACTTCAATGGGGATCGACGGAATTTTTCTTACATAGGCCGATTGACTCAAAACGATGCTGTGATCATATTTTTGGGTGAGTTCAATTCCTGTGAAAGTAAAGGCAGTTGAGCTTTTTGAACCAAAAGCGTACTTTTGCTCTAGCTTATCCATGATCCTTTGAAATTCTGGTGTTCCTCCGTAAATCCCATCGTCGACATGGATTCCCACGACACCAAGTAGTTGTCCTTCTTGAGGGGTTCCCTTGGTTCCTCTTAATATGAACACACATGGGTCAAATGGGCTAGTCTCCAGGCCTAGTCTAGTGAGCTCCCCAACCAGTGCTTTGTACCATAGATATGGCGCATCGATCAAACCATAAGCTCCCTTGTTCAACTGGCCTACTTCATTTGGAGCCATCTGCATTGCTTTGCGGATCTCGGGAACTGGTTCCACAGCCATCACTCGGTCGGCCTGTGGCTGGCCCTGCAAAAAGGCTGCTTTGATGTCAAATGACTTCAGAGTCCAGTTGTGACTTGCGATGGTCTGAAGGATGAGCATTCGTGAGGTCTTATTCAAGGTGGGACTATCTCTTGGGATTTCTTCAATTTTTGGATCAAGATATCCTAATACCACCAGTCGAGCCTTAGCCTTATAGTTATTCTCCTGTTGGTTACCATTATTTGACCCTGTATTGTCAATTGGTTTCCAGGTGAGTATCCATCGACATCTTAAGATTTGGGATTCTGGAATCTGATGTCGGAGGACCTTGGTCAGGGTCTTGGTCTGGATCCAATTAGCCACCTCGGCTGCCTTGGCTTGTTCGAATTGTTCTCTCTCTTGCTTGTTGAGCTCATGCAATCTTACTTCTGTTCTTTGTTTCTTGGCATTGGTTGCCAATAGAATGCATGCTTCTGTTGATGACAGGTTTTCCACATTGGTATTTTCAGGAAGTGTTACATCAAACTCGCATCTCCAAGCAAGATCCTGAGATTCGATGGTGCCGAGTGCATCTGCCTCTTCTACACAGAGAAGTTGGAAATCGTGACTTTCCGGATCATTGGTGGCATTTGGTTCTTCCAGGGCTTGTGACACCTGGCGACTCTCGATCTCTGGCTCTTGGTCAGGCTGTCCCATGGGACTTGAGAGACTTGGGTCGCTTTCACGGCGATCACTGGCTATGGAGGGGCTATAGGGACTATCGGGTTCATTAGGAATATTGATCTCTTCTCCTTCGGGGATGGTTGGTAGGTCTTGATTCATGCGTGATATTTGTTGTTGCAAGCTGGTAATGTCCTCAGGTAGGGTGCCATCTTCTGGAATTCCTTCACTGGGATGTGCTTTTCGAACATTTTCTGGGGCACTGCGATATATATTCCCTGCCTGCGTGGTCCATACTGTATGATTGGAGTCTTGAAGGATAACCCTTTGGGGACCTATCCATTCTTGAGTCTTTGAGGGTGTAGTTCTCCAAATCATAACCCATGTATTGGGGTGGAATGGACCTCTTTCTGGGCATGGTCTTCTCAACATGGCTCTTCGGATCGAGTCGCTGTTGTCAGCGATGTGAAATGCCTTTCTTACTGACTCGCGAAGCTGCAATAGGTGTCGAAACCCTTTCGGTTGCAATTGGTCAGGCTCCTGTACTGCTGACAGGTGTGATGGTATGGATTCATCACTCATGATGGACCCAGGCAACCGGCTGCTTTTTCCAAACACAATGATTTCTGGACTATATCCATGACGAACCACCATGCTGTTCTTGGCCTGGGTGCATTGGTTTAATGCAGCTTGCAGTTCTGGATATGTGGTGATGGGCATGTCGGTGTCAACGCGCTGTAACATTTCTTGAACAAACCTGCCATGTCTCTCAATCTTTCCATTCTGCCAATGTGCTTCTGGACTGGTAACATGGGTCTTGATTCCATATTGTTGACAAAACTGAGAAAATTCTTCACTGAGAAATTCGGTGCCAGAGTCATGAACAATCTCTGCCGGGTAGCCTGCCCAGGAAATCCAATGCTGCGACAGCAACTGAATTACATCCCTTGTGGTGTGGGATGGTGCGCAAAAGGCTACATGAAAGTTTGACCCTGCATCCAGCACGTGATAGAAAAAGAAGTTCCCTTTGGCACTATTGCTCCATGATATCCCATCAATGTAAATTTTATGGTTGAAGTCTATCATTGGTTTAAGGGAACCTGGTCCCTGGTGCTTTGGAGGGGTATGCGTCAAACAGCTGGGGCACACTAAGTCAAAAGCCGCCTGAACCATCTCTGGACGTTGTCCAGCATTTCGGAGAGCTTTGGCAAGTCTTTCATTGGTAGGATGGCCTAGGTTCTTATGAATCTGCATGAGTTTCTGGCGTTCCCACTTCGGCAACTTCAAAACGCTGGTGCTTTGGCTGACTTGTTCCGATGGATGGCTTGGAGTCAAGTCTGGAGCCAGTGAGATGGTTGGTTCTGCAGGACGAGCTTCGTCATCCTTCGTGGTGCTTTCAGATTGAGGCGGGCTATCTACAGTGATGCTCGGCGATACGCTGTCTGATCTCTGAGACTCTTCGGTGCTTGTTGGCTCTTGATCTTTGGCAAACATGGTCACATTCAAACGACAACTGTGGGCAGGACGTATTAGTTGACGGTTCGAAAGTTCAGGCCACTTTTCCCAATGAGTCTCAAACTTCACCGCTGCTGTGGATCGAATAATCATCAATGATTTTCGGTATGGAGCCATGCTGGGCATCGTCCCAGTCGGTGGTGCCAGAGTGCGATCAGTGCCACGACAAGCTACGGCTGTCACAATTCGTTTGTCAGGGAATAATCTTTGCAAGTCTGATAAAATATGGTTTTCTGTGATTTGATACTTTCCAACTCTGGGGGTTATTTGATGGATCTTCTGAAGGCAACTTTGATATTCCTCTAGATGTGGTTGAGTCGACTGTTTTCCCGTGAGTCGGCGTCGTTTCTCCTCCTTGTCTTGAAGAGGCTCAGGACTGCTCAAGGCGGATTTTGGAAACTTTTCCTGATTATGACTCGGCTTTCGAAACACTGATCGGACTGACCGCTGTCCGAGGGCTGGCAATGTTTCTGCAACATGACACCATGCTCCCGCGGCCCATCTGAATGGCCTTTGAAATGGAGACTGGGACATGACCTTGGCAATCAAACGGGAAAACTTTCTTGGATACACCTCAGAAAATTGGGCCCTGAGGATTGAGTGACCTTCAAACACAGTGCTACCCTCGATCGGTTGGTGGTTTGGATGATTGGTACATTTCCTACCATGCAGTTGCTCATATATTCCTGGATGGGTGGTGAGCACGGTCATTGGCTTGCGCATCGGTTCGCCAGTTGCAGGATCCTTCAAACCCTGAGTGCACATGTCGAATTGGCAAGCCTGCGAATGCTGGTGAATCTCTGATAAGCCATGTACATGCAACATCAATGATCGGCTCGGCTGCTCCAAGTGAAAATGCCTACCATGTTCAACTTGATGGCGATACAGCACAATCCCCAACGCAACTTGATACATTAAATGGTGGCGTAACTGTTGATACTTCTGTTGGCTTTCTAAGGATCGGGAAGCATTCAAGTTACTCCAGGATGACCAGGGACCACATGTTGGGCTATACCATAGGTGTTGGGGCCGATGCTGAACAATCCAATGGAACAACTTCTGTCTACCTTCAATCTTTGAGAGATCACCATCGGCCAGACCAAAACGAAATGCCTGATGGCCCAACTGTCGGACCTGGTGAGTCAGGGTTGACTCGGCATCGCAGAAAATCTCCCCCAGCATAAACGGTTTTCCCATAGGCTTGGTCGTGTTCAAAGTATTATGTAGTTCATGTTCAAGGACCCTTATCCATCTATTGAGGTGATTCATGTCATGATGGACAGCCGTGAATGATTCTGATACATCATCCTGGGCGATGCTTGGTGGATCTACTGCGTTCCATGGTTCTGGCTCGCTTGCTCCATGGCCTGGGTTTCCAGGTGATTGACCACTTTGGTCAGAGCATTCTCGAGATTCAGCAGGCGCTCCTGCATGGCACTGAATTCCGGGCTTTGGCTCAGGGGAGATGGCACCATAGTCAGTGAGTTGTACATCTCGATCTCCTCTTGCAGCTCTTCGTCCAACAACGGAAAATGGGTTGGCTCCTGGTAGCCAGAATTCGGAGCCACACCCGCCTTTGCCTTGGGCTGGAACTTCACGTTGGCCTTGGCCCTTGGTGGGTTGACGACACGGCCAGAACCCTCGGTCGATCCTAGGCCCGTCTGGACCACCACAGGCATCTGTTGCTCCTCGTGATGTTGAACCATGAGTTCCACGAATCGAAGGAACTTCCGGTGGGATTGTGGCTCTTGCTGTAGCGGTCTGCCATGAATGCTACCCACTCCTGGTCGGTGTTCCACACCTCCATGTAGCTGCGGCCGCAGTTTTTCTTCCCGAAATCCACCATCTCGTTCTCGAGGTCTTGGATGCTCAGATGAGCTACATCGGATGGGTTTGGTTCGGACTTCATCTGCAAACCCTTCAAGCGCTGACTCAGGGACATGGCTTTTCGGGTCTTGGTGTTCGGTTTTGACACAATCGGACGTATGTTGTGCTTTCGCCGGGCTATCACCAACCGCTGCATGTGAATTGAAGTCCTGTACATCAGGCATCACTGAACATGCTCGGATTTCTTGGTTTAACCCTTGGGATTCTGAAAGGCATTGCATGGGACTTGACACTGGACTACCACGTGAACCCTTGCAATCACTGTCAGATTCAGCGGGGATTTCTCTTTTGCATGTTGTGGCAGTGAAAGTCTCACCTACAGTCTTCGCTGCTGGATGTTCGTTCACTGGGCAATTGGAAGCTCTCGCCAATTCATTAAGATCTATCAAAAACAGGCCTTTGTTAGTGAGTTCCATCCGAACTGGCTGCTGGAGCTTTGGGCTTCGAAGCAAAAACGCTTGACAGTCGATCTGTGCCTGGAGGGCCCTCATCAGCGTATTGCTAATGAGAAACGGAGTGCTACCTGGAACCACAGCTATCTTAAGCAAAAGATTTCCTATGGGAACAACTATTGCTTGATTGCTTGTAAGGGTACCCTGGTTTCCAAACCTGAAAGTGATCTGACACTTGCATCGGGTGAGTCTTTCTCTGAGAGGCTGATCCAGGCTGCAGATCAGGCTTTTCACATGATCAGATCCGATCACCGTCTTGGATGCACCTAGATCCAACACACCAAACGTTGTGTGAGTTGCAAAGCAAACTGGATTCACACTGACTTCACTGCTACCGTCTGATGGCGTGTGACATGGGACTTCAACTTTCGAGTGCATCACTGGGTGACCTGGGACATTGACGGGACGGTCGGATCTCTCCGTTTTAGGAGAACTGGGCGACACTTGCACATACGGACTCAACACTGTCGACATTGGTTCATCATCCTTCCTGAGCACGGTCATGCGCAGGCGTTCTTTGAGTGACTTTACGTTATTATTTTCCCCAAGTGGGCCAATACTAATTCCCTTAGATTCCCCAAGAATCCTACCACGATAGTATAGCCTAGGTCTGCTTGAGGTTGCTTGGCAAACAAAAACTTGACTGGGCTCGGACAAAGTGGCTTCATCGATTGCGGCTTCATCGGATCTGGGCAGCTGCAAAAACTCTAGAGGCAAACTATCCATCGTCTCAAGGCTGGCATCGGTCACTACGGTACCTGTCGGAGCTTGGGAACTGGCGGAACCTGCATTCTGCTGGTTCTGGCGCAACGGGCACTCTGCTTTCCAGTGACCCTTTTGGCCACAGGCCCTACAGTTGCTTGACAAAATCCGATCCTGGAGCGACCTTCTTGGTCTGTTGAAACTGGACCCTTGCCCTTGAACGAGTTTCGCGAGCCAAATCCCTTTCCTTTGGACTGGGAAGGCTGGAACGGTCGGCTTGGAAAAAAACCTCTGTTTCGGGCCTTCTCATTCAGCTTATGTCGGGCTATTTGATAGGCTGAATAGGCACTGGCAAGTTCGGGATCTTCCTGTACAGTCTCACTGAGGGCACTTTCGAAGTCATGAACTAGCAGGGCATCACTGTCACCTTCTTGAAGAAGCATCTCAAGAACCTCCTCCTCGTTCATCGCATCTTCGGCATTGAAGACGGGTTCTGAATCTTCCCCATCATGTGATGCATCTGCTATCAATGCATTTGATCGTACACCTTTGACTTGACTGTTCGCTTGTTACCCGTGATGTCATTGAAAAACACCGATCCCAACATTCTGATTGATTCTGCTACCCTCTTGGTTGTCAACTGACCTGCTGCCTCGGATTCCAACACTATGCGCTTCTTGTCTTCGGCCGTCAAACAAGAGCCTCTGAGAGTGATGAAAGCCTGCAAGTCAGCTAATGTCACCTTTTGGGCCAGAAGCTTGCTCCAGTTCACATCTGCTCGAGCTAGGTATGAATCATTTGTTTCATCGCTATGTTGCTGGGTATGAAACAAGGCTATCTCCGCCTCCTCGTACTTCTTGGCCAACGGAACTCTGCCCCATTGTCCACCTAAGAGCTCCACCAACTTCTTGATGGCTGCCTCTTCCCCAGTAACCAGCTCTGCTTGATGGATCTGTAGCTTCTGAAAAGCTGAACCTGTTGTATTGAGAATGAGTCGCGTCTGCAACTCGGCCAGTTTTGTTTTCGGCCATGCAGCCGTCACCAACTCAACTTTCTGTTGATCGGTTACCAGATCATCTCGACTTGGGTCGAAGGTCGGCACCAAGGATGCAAGCTGGTTGCTTACACCCAACTGAGATGTTTCTGCAGCTGTGCTTGACATGCTTCTCCCCGGATGCCCCCTCGATATGTAGCGAGGGAGCTCCGCTACCAGTGTAAATGGCCGGAGACTCCCTAATGATCTTGGTCAGGATGGTGAGGGTGCCAAAACTGATTGTGTACCCCAAACCTGTTGTATTGCTACCCAAAAGGATGAAAACACTCAGCCACTAGTCTTCTCCTCGAACACCCCAAACGCAGCAGCTGTTTGTCACACGATGATGCCAAAATTGTCTATGTCGCAGGTTGGACACTGGGAGGTCCAAAAGCGGAAGGCTGTGTCAGCCTTATTCCAAAAAGCTTGCAAAAGGGCGGCCTCGCCCAAATCAACCAAGGAGTGACCCTGTCACTGTAGGCGCAAGACACGGAAATCCCTCAGCACCCTCACCGTGGAGGCCCGCCTGAGCCAAGTGTCTGCAGACACTCGTTGGATCAAACCAAGGTACCTGAAGCAAGTGGTGGGTCCACAATTGGATATTCACAATATACATACATATATATATATGTAACACATATATATATATACAAGTAGTGTTGTATCAACGCTTCCATGCATGGGGAAGAGAAGAAGAAAGACGCAGAAGCAAAGTGGAGGTTGGTGAAGGTTTGTTTGCCAGCAGGACAAGGAGCAAAACACATGCACGAACAGGATCCTGAAAGCCCACTGATGGGCCCTGGCACCTGCTGCACAAGCATCCCGGAAGGCTAAGCGGGTGAAGGTTTGTTTGGACCCTTCAGGAGCGCGCTGAACACATTGGGTCGCGCGCCCCCCGCGCACAACCACAACCAGGCCAAACCCCAGCCCCGGCAGCCAGCTCAGAGAGAATAAGAAGGCAAAATTTTCCGGAGGCAAGGGCCCTGTGGCTCAGTGGTTAGCGGGTCGGCCTTCAGACTCGGAAATCGTAAGTTCGACCAGCGGCGGTTGCTAATTCCAAAATGATTCTGGGGCTTGGTCTGCTTTCGTTTGTCTTTCACAATCACCACGCGGGCTTTTGCAAACATGCACGCGCACACACACAGGCTTGAAAACCTGATCGTGACAGAATTTACCCGTCCCAGTTTAAATAATAATTTAAGAATTTGGCAATCCTATTCCAGGGTCCTTCAAGTTCTTAAAGTATTATGTCCTTGGTATAGCTGAAAATATGTGGCCCGCATTGGATCCGAGCCCCTTAAATTCTTATACAATGCATTCTTATAACGCACTCAAGCTTTACATTTACATTACGTGTGCATTACATCTACATGACATTTACAGTACATTTTCATTACATTCACATTACATTTACATTACATTCACATTACATTTACATTGCATTTACATTACATTAACATTACATTAACATTACATTTACATTACGTTTACATTTACATTTACATTATATTGCATTTACAGTTGCATCTCATTTGCATCACATAAACATTATATTTACATTACGTGTACACATCACAGTCACATCACATTTGCATTACATTCACATTCACATTCACATTCACATTTACATTACATTCGATTACGCATTACATTAGCATTACATTTACATTACATTTGCATTACATCTACATTACATTTGCACTACATTTATACATAAATACATACATACATACATACATACATACAAACATACATACATACATACATACATACATACATACATACATACACACATGCATACACACATACATACATACACACATACATAACATAACATAACATAACATAACATTACATTACATTCAGTACATACACATAAAATATCAGAATAATCAATTTTTCTCGTGGTGTCTTTTTCAATAATCTTACAGTCTTGAAAGGTTGCCAGCGTTTCTAAATCTTCAATGGTAGGTCCTTTCCAGGTATATACATATTTGTCAATGTGTATATACATGTATACTTGAATCATTTTGATTCTGCACACACCTGTATACATATTTGTCAACATATATATTATATATATATAGATTATATATATATAATATATATATTATATTATATTATATTATATTATATTATATTATATTATATTATATTTATTATATATATATGTATACATAACAGCGTGTTTGTCAGACAGTTAAGAAACCACGGGGCGGATCAGCAAAAACAACTGGAGTTCAGGCCAAAAATTGCCTTTTTGTTGGCATCAATAGCTTGGCAAACATTGACCGGCCAAAGTGATACATAGATAGTCGTATCACATCTGTATCACATTTGAATACATTGAAATCCACTTTGAAGATTTCTGCCAGAAAAAACACATCTGCGAGGACCTGAAGATCTTTAGCGAGTTGTTCAACGAGCCTTTGGTGATTGCGAAACAATGCATCCGCGAGGCCATCAGACCTGAATGGTTTAGTTTATGGACAATCCGAAAATAACATGGATGACTGAGGGTACCCCTATGACCCTATGACATCTATGACTTAGGAAACTTCTGCACATCTCTAGCCTTACACATCTCTAGCTTGAAAATCTTGAAAAGGGTGTCTTGGAAATCCACACGCCGTTGAACATTTCATCCAACCTTCGGTACACCCTTTAAAGTGCTGGACTGAACATCAGAAAAGAACACGAACCCAGTTTGTAGTTTGTACAACTCATGGAAGTGTCCATGATGGTTACTTATTCTGCTGCCTCTTGCTCAGATCCACTGAGCAAGATCCACCCTTCTAGAATGGCTGAAAGGAACAGGAGAGCCTTCCACTTGGGTACCCAAGCTGCTTGGTATTCTATAGAATCTTTGCCATAGCCAACGTTGGTATAGGTAAACAACGGATGTAAACAGGAAACCATCTAAAATTCCAAACGCACAGCTAACTTTTTGTTCCATGGATAGTCATATGATCGTTTGTGTAAACATCCCATGATGTATATATAATATATATATATACAGATATTATATATATATACATGTACGTATATATATATATACACATTTATATCATCTATATCATCTATATCAATTCCCCCCTTTAAGCCTGGAATATTTGGTGGTGTAAGGCAAGAAAATTTTGAGACACGGATGTCAGACTCAAGCCCTGGTCTTTGAAGATTCTCAGGAACGGAATCCTACTGCTGCAATGAATTTCTGGCGGGATGGGGGTAGCTTCTAGAGCTGTGAAATACCATGCTTTTGCACCTCCCGCCCTCAACAATTTCTCAACCAAAGCTTGGGCAGAGAAGAAACATGGAAATGTACGCTTCAGCTGGTTTGCACGCACCTGACCACACATCCACCGGTGCCCGCTGATGCACAACCGACAGCGCTAAGATTTTCCATTGCCTGATTCTACCGTATATAAACCAGAAATTTCTAGCTGAACTATTTCTGGGTGGGGGGGAGGGGTTAACACCCCCCAAAAGTGAAATATTTCAGTGCTAACCCCCCCCACCCCCCTTAAAGAGGGGTGGATCTACATCATCTATATCTACATATCTCTATGTATGTATTTATATATATCATTATGTATGTATTGATATATATATATATATCTATATATACCTATATATATCTATATATATCTATATATATCTATATATATCTATATCTCTATCTATCTATATCTCTATCTATCTATCTATCTATCTATGTATCTATCTATCTATCTATCTATCTATCTATCTATCTATCTATCTATCTATCTATCTATCTATCTATCTATCTATCTATCTATCTATCTATCTTATCTATCTATCTATCTATCTATCTATCTATCTATCTATCTATCTATCTATCTATCTATCTATCTATCTATCTATCTATCTATCTATCTATCTATCTATCTATCTATCTATCTATCTATCTATCTATCTATCTATCTATCTATCTATCTATCTATCTATCTAATCTATCTAGTCTATCTAATCTATCTAATCTATCTAATCTATCTAATCTATCTAATCTATCTAATCTATCTAATCTATCTAATCTATCTAATCTATCTAATCTATCTAATCTATCTATCTATCTATCTATCTATCTATAGGCCCTATATAGGCTCAAGGCTGGGGGTTCCCCGGAGCTCCGAGGAACCCTCAGTCTTGATGCTATACCATAAAGGTCGTTCTTGTATAGAGATGGGGGGTGGGGGGGTGGGTGGGGGTGGGGGTGTGTGTAATAACATCATGTGAAGTGCGTTGGATGATGTTGAATCCTGGAAGACGTTTCTTGGTTGGAAGATGGTGTTACGTTGAAAGTTTCGTTGTTGTTTACAGAAGGGGGGTGGGGGGGGTAATAACGTCATGTTAAAAAAACATAAAACACTGTAAAACACAGTGTGAAAA